CCATAAATTGAAGCTTATATTACGCAAAATATCATACCTAACATATATATGTTGGGAAATTGATAATTTTGTAATTAAAAGTGATATTTTTAAGCGATTTTGCATTTGTAAGAATATTCCAAATTCCAATGGAATATTTTAAAAAAATTATCGTGTTACCATGGCAACTATTTTACATACTTCATGTTTGGAAAATACAATGGTTTTGTCAGCAAGGCGAGGGTTTCTGCATGCATGTATTTTCTAGTATAAACCTGAAGATGCAGTGTCCTGCAGAATGCAATAAAATAATTACAGTTTTTACATATAGACGGGACAGATTATTGTTAATTTTAGCGAACAAGCTAAAAAGTTGGGCCTTTACATATACTGTACAACTAAAGACAGTATATAATCAGTCATATAGTGGTGAAGAGTTTCAGATTTGACAGCTATACAGCCACCATTAAGGGAACATGAACCAATCAGATGCGTTAAGTCTACTCGATGAATCAATCGCATGTTCAAAATGTTAGCCATGACGCTGATATTTTAGGCATGTAGTGGAAGTCAAATCTGATGAATGACCGAAAACAACATTCTAGTGTGAAAAAGATGTTATTATTTCACATAAAGATGTTATTATCCTGGTTTGTTTTGTAGATAATACCATGTAAAAATTGTTTGTGCATAGTGTTTGATTTGTGTGCCTGGATCTTCATCAGTGCAGTTAAAATGAAGATCCAGGCACAAGGACTGAAAGCTATGCACAAATAATTTTTATGTGGTCAGGGATATTTTCAAGCACTTTAGTCTACAACCGTTTTTCAGAAGGAGATTTTTTTCTGGGGGGGACGTAAAATATTTTGTGTCAGGGGCACACATTCCAAATATTTTGGGGGGGTGTAAAATACTTCGGGAACAACTTTTACGTGTTTGCATTCTGGAAGGGAGAGTTCCTTGAGGTGCCACCATGGTTGGCGCCGAGCGGAAAAATTTTGAAACTTTGAAGTCTCTAGATGGTCGGAAATGGCATTTTCAGACAATAGTTTGGCCACCAGCTGGCTGTAAAGCACAGAAAGGAAGTTGTATATATATATATATATATATATATATATATATATATATATATATATATATATATATATATATATATATATATATATATATATATATATATATATATATATATATATATATATATATATATATATATATATATATCAGAAAGTTGGAATGTTTGAATTTTCGCTCTGTTCTCGTTCTTGAAGCCTTCGGGAAAGTCTGATTGGTTGATCACGGATTTCGACTGATGGATTGTTATTGGTTGCCATGGAGTGCGGGTGATTGCAATCATCGTGAGTTGATATTGAGAAGGAAGTTGCGGGTGGGTTAAACTGAGGTTAATAAATGCGAAACAGGACTTTTGTGAGAGTGTTTTAGTTGTAAGTATAGTTGTAAGTATAGCTGTAAGAATAGTTTTTAGTTGTAGTTGTAAGTTTACAATATAATAGCAACCACCCCACACAGCACAAAATCAGTTTCATAAAATCACTTTTCAACAGAATCGACACACATTGTAGCACTGAGGAATCTAAACGAGGCGAACGCAGATACTTATACTCGAAAATGGCTACCGTTGGACTTTATCAACAAAGTACTATCACATAGGAAACAAACTAACACAGACCAACCAAACCAAATACGAAAGAGGATCACACTTCCTTATATAAACACCACGTCGGACATGGCCAGAAATTCAGGACAACATGGCGATTGGCATACCCAATGTACTTCCTCATTCATTATTCAAGATGGTTGATTTATATATAGATTAAGTATTGCAAATAAATGTTTTAGCAATTTCCAACTTTTTTCGTACATAAATCCGAGCTCTGCACGTCGAAAACATCATTTAATTACTCGATCCTTTAACCGAATAAATTTCAGAACAGTTCTACTAGGACAAACCAGTTCCCGAGAACTATATTCCTACCTTATCTCATCACATATTCCAGAGAGTTAATTATTCTCCCAAAATTCGCAAACTGCACATTTTTGGGCAGCATTTTAGGACATTCGTGGTCAGTACATGGAGCTTCTGCACGCCTGCATTGATAGTTTGGGTTTATCTTTGTTCTTCAACAGTTTACAAACCCATAGAGGATGGAGAAACAGGTTCCAAAAAGCCACCAAATATATGCTTTTTAGCAAACAGAAAATGTGCACATTGAGTGTTGGAATTACCACAAATCACTTGAAAAATTGAAAAAACCCCAGCAAATTTGTAAATGTTGATCCGCCATTTTGCTTTAAAATTGTTGCTAGGCAACCTATATGACTGACAAGTTGTATTTGTGGGCTCAGTGAGGTCGATTTCGCAATAAAATAGCTCAGATTTCGCGGGAAAATTTGGTAAAATTATTTGTAGCAGTTTCAATTTGGGCATCTTTAACAGTTGGAAATTTTTTTTAAAATACTTTTCTTTCGTTTACTTGTACATACTGTACCTCAAGTAAGTGTTCAAACGGCTTATTGCTGTATTGTGCGTATAAAATTTGCATACGAATACATTGATGTCGGATACATGCCCAACTGCATTCCATTCATTCTTGAAATGGAAACTTGGTGAATATGAGCCCGCGCGTTTTTCCGCTGACTGTCCTGAATTTCTGGCCATGAAATGACAGCTAGACTTCTCAGACCGTTCAACATCGACATTGCACAAAAACCAACATGCAAACTAAGATCAAAGTTTACCAATCATAAAGACAAAACAAACGTAACCGAAAAACATAACGCCAATTACATGTTTACTTGAAAAAATTGCCCCGGCAAGTACATTGGACAAACGTCTAAGAAAATCCAGACAAGATTAACCGAACATCAAAACGCCATTAACAGACATGACCATAATTCACTCCCAGCCAAGCACGCAGACGATAACAACGGACACAAATTTGACTGGTCTCAAACGAGATGCCTAGGACAAGCTACTACGAAACATGCCCGTGAGTTTAAAGAAGCGTGGCATAGTATAGATAAACTAACATTTAACCGCCGTATTGCATGAAATTCCTTTAATATACTTACAACTAAAACACTCAGACAAAACTTTAACCCATGCAACCGCAACTTCCTTCTCAATATCAACTCACGATGATTGCAATCACCCGCACTCCATGGCAACCAATAAGAAATCCATCAGCCGAAATCCGTGATCAACCAATCAGACGTTCCCAAAGGCTTCAAGAACGAGAACAACGCGAAAATTCAAACATTCCAACTTTCTGATGAAGGTCGAAGTACCGAGTCGAAAGCTCAAAACATTTAAATTACAATCCAGAGATATAATATATATATATATATATATATATATATATATATATATATATATATATATATATATATATATATATATATATATATATATATATATATATATATATATATATATATATATATATATATATATATATATATATATAACTATATATATATATATAGTTATACTAGATATATATATATAGTTATACTATATATATATATATATATATATATATATATATATATATATATATATATATATATATATATATATATATATATATATATATATATATATATATATATACCATAAGGTTTTGGTTTACGAAACACAGACAGTGCTCAATACCATATAGATAGAGCGTAATATAGTTCAGTCTGTTTCATCATTGCGCACATATTTCATAATTAATCGCCCCTTTCAGAATGTATTCTACTGTATATTTCATCCAAAACAAAGTCATTAATGACTCTTAATTAACAATTCGCTAAGGAAACTCCTTTGACCGTTTTCTAAGTCGGTTAAACACCTCGACCGTCGCCTTTAAGCCAGATAAATCTCTCGGGGCCTTCGTCCATCGGGATTTATCTGGCTAGCGCTTAAGGCTGTTTTCCAGTCCTCGCACGAAGCACCTCTTGGAGTGTGCTCATCAAATTAAAATTAACGGT